CCTCCTTCCTTCTCCTTCCTTCTTTCGTTCCTTCTCCTTCCTTCTCCTTCCTTCCTTCCTTCCTTCTCCTTCCTTCTCCTTCCTTCCTTCCTTCCTTCTCCTTCCTTCTCCTTCCTTCCTGTCTCTTTTCACAACAGCATGATATGCCGACATCAGCATTAATGATGACGTCAGCATTGAATCTTCTTCCTTCCTTCCTTCTTCCTCCTCCTCCTTCCTTCCCCTTCCTTCTCCTTCCTTCTTCCTTCCTTTCTTTCTTCCTTCCTTCCTTCCTTCTACCTCCTTCCTGTCTCTTTTGGCTCCAGCATGACATGCCGACGTCAGCATCAATGATGACGTCAACATGTATTTCCTGACATGCCGATACCTAAATCCATCCACAGAAGTTCTCGCTCGGCTCCAAGATGGTAATGAGAGGTTCTCGCTCGGCTTCCAAGATGGTAATGAGTCTACAGGTGACTGCTCTGATGATTGGAAGCTTGGGTCTACACAATTCATCTGGACCATCCATTTGGAGGAGGTCGATCTCTTGCATCCTTCCTTCCACCTCAGCTTGTTCTCTTCAGATTCGAGGCCGTCTACACCAACGATGATGACGATTGGCAGCGAACATGTCCCATACGCTGGAGTATGTTCATGTTTGCAGCACTCCCTCTCTTCATTTCTTCATTTGACATCCAACTCGCCGGCGCTTTGAGTGCTCTTTCTCACGACCCTTTCCAGTACAACAAGCACGATGCCTTTCTTCAGCATCCAACAACTACTGGTGCTGAAACCACCAGTGCCGGGACCCTCGACGCGGCAGCATACCTGGAGCCCGCAGTTTCCATGTACTGACCTGGCAGTGACCAAATCCATTCTGGTCACCTGATTGTATCTGGACTGGATTCAAACTTCGGTCTGCATTTCAACAGTTTGTCCGGTGTACAAACCAAGCTACGCCCATTAAGGTGCAAAACATTTGAGGCTCGACAAGATAGGGTCCACCACCATACCACTGGTGATTCCACATACCACCCCAACCATTGTTTCAGCAGAAAAACCAGCAGCTGTCCTGTCAATCTGAAAGTCTGCAGGTTTCTGGATCTGGGGGAAAAAAAAAAAGGTCTGCAGGTTTGCTGTTCTCTCCGTCTCAACCATCACAACTTTCAAGTTATTGCTATTGCTGGCTTGATGTGAACTTCTTGCCCTTCCCCTTCCTCCCCCCCCCCCCTCTCCTCTCTCTCTCCCTCTCTCCCTCTCTCCCTCTCTCCCTCTCTCCCTCTCTCCCTCCTTTGGTGGTCGACGTATGCAACCACACTCTTCAAGAACACAAGAAAAAGATTGTATCAAGGGCTCAGAATCTTCAGATCTCATTTCCTCTGTTCCGTAGCGGGCGTACTTCAGAGTGACAGAAGGTACAACAGCGCTCGCATATGTTTGCGTCGTCTGCTGCTCGCCATCATCACCCATCATCTCATCTTGACGTCCAAAATTTGCGCCATCACCGCCCTTCAGCTCACATCAGACTGCCTTCGTCTACGACATCTACGGCGACAAAACCGCACTGCTGATGAGGACGACGAAGATAGATCTGTGTCCATCCATCCATCTATGAGAAAAACTGTGTCGCCATTCGATAGAACTGGTCCTCGCCCATGGGCTTGGTGAAGTACCTGTGATACAGAACAGTGGCGGCAAGAAAAAAAGAAAAAGAATGAGCCATGAGGCAATCATATGAAAATTAGCACACACAAAATGTGAGGCTTTACTCTTGCGGAGGACATAATGTGCCAAATATGAGAAACACTAAAGCGTAATGACCCGTCAAAACACAGACTGAGAACAGTGCTGATTTCTGAGTCTTGCCGCTGGAATGAATGCCTTGCTGAGATTCCCGCGTTCTGCTGAGTTTTCTAAGTCTGTGTGTGTGCGTACTTGTTGGTCTGAGTGTGTTTGTGCCTCGCAAGGGCACTTGTTTGTTTGGAGGCCCTGCAGGGCCGGTACTTACCCGTGACCGTGACTTTGAGGGTTGAAAAACACCCGAGTAGCGGGAGTAGGCCAGCGGGAGCGGGGAAAACACTCAAGTAGCAGGCAGGCCGGTACCACTCAAGTAGCGGTGGATGTGTCGGGGACTGGAGGCCGAGCAGAAGAAGACAAAAGTTGGCAGTTTTAGAGGCCCAGTAGCTGGTAGGCTAGATCTAGGCCGGTACCAGTCCAAGTAGCCTGAGTCTAGGGCCTGTGCGGACGATATCAGAGCCTGCACTGATGTTTCCCTCCTAAAGGGAGGAGGTACTGGTTGCTTGGAGGCCCTGCGGCCTGGAAGTCACCGCCCAAGAGGCAGGTAGGCAGCTGCAATGAATTGCAGTGTTATGCAGGCTGTACACTACTTCTATCTGCTTTTGTCTAGTTTGAGCGCTCTGGGACTTTATCCCATGACCTGTACCATGGTTGTGTGTTCCTTTGTGTGTGTGAGCTTTGCTGCGCTCGATCCCTAGGTCTGATTCTGAGTCTCTGTAGGGTAGTCATAGAACCACTGGGCCTCTCTGTTTTGTCCGTTTGTAGGTCGTTTATATCCTTCCCTTTTGCCGATCTTGGGTTTAAATTCTGTCCTAGGCTGTTGGCTGTCGGGTCAGTGGAAGCAGAGTCTACAAAAGTGTCGAAGGCCAAGGAAACCGGGTTCTGCCTTGTCTTTTTTTTAGGAGTGCTGCTGGAAGGACTGCTGGAGGTTGCTGCGTTATTTCCCTGGCGCAGGCATCCTCATCTTGCTGAGAGGCTGGAAGCCATAGCTGGGGCAGCCAGATACCACATCGGACAGCACAGGGTATCAGGCCCTGAGCGCTGAGTGGTGCCTTCCCCCTTCTGTTCTGTTGGGGTCTTCGTAGCTGCCATCGAAGCACTGTGGTTCACATGTCTTCTTCAACGTGGCAGGTCTCCATCTTCGTGGTGGTGGTGCTCTTCTTCTTCATCCTGAGAGCTGTGCTCCCCTGCTGAGTGGACCCTTCACCTGCAGCTGGGATTGGATGTTGCTGCCGGGTGCCGTGTCGGCCTCAGGAGGGTGGTGTAGTGCCGGAAGGCTTGATGGGTTGGGCGCTGTGTGCGCCATAGGTTGAGCTTGGTGGCAAGGGAGGAAGGAAAAGAACTCCTCTCTGACGATGAAACAGCGTAAATAGTTGGTTCCTGGGATTCTTGGGAAAAACAGTGCGTTGCGCTCAGTGCCCAGACTAAATCACACAGCCTACTAGCAGCCTACGAATTGACAAAGCATTCAGTTAACCTCAGCCTGGGTGTCAGCGTTTGTAGACCAGGTACGTGCCCTCACATCATTAACCTCATCTCTCTCTCTGTCTCACCCTCGACTTTCTCACCCACGTCCTCACCCTCAAACACGAAGACCACCACCAGCGCCACTGGCTATATCCAAGCCAAGCCTGGCTATGGGGGCTGGCTATGGCGCCGCCCTCAGCAGCGCCCTGCACCCTTCATGTGGCATACTGCGCAGCCACACGGGCCTGCAGGGCCCAACCAGTGTTCTCAGCCTGAAATCCTGAAAACAAGGGCCTACAGGCCCTGTGTCGTTTTCAGCCTACGAGCCTGAAAACAAGGGCCTACAGGCCCTGTGTCGTTTTCAGCCTGAAAGCCTGAAAACGAGGACCTACAGGCCCTATGTCGTTTCAGCCTAAAACAGGGCCCTCCAGGCTCTGAGTCTTTTCAGCCTGAAACGGAGGGCCGTTTTCAGGCCCTCATAAGATCGACCTGCCCTGAAACTTAGGCACCAGACCAGGGTTTTAGCACAGGCCATTTTTGGCCTGTTTTCAAGACAACCCTTGTTTGAACTTCAACGCCAGGGTCTGGCACGTTTCGGCATTGGCAAGAGCAGCCTCCTGGACAGGCCAGCACTATATAAGACTGGGCCGCCCTACAGGCTGCAGGCAGTCAGGAGGCAGTCACGAGGTAGTTCATAGGAACTTCCCAGGCACTTCACGTGCAGGAGGCAGGAGGCAGTCTTCAGGATTCGGCAGCAGCACTCTGGAGGAGCGCTGCAGTAGTAGTAGTAGCGTTAGCAGTACTCTTCAGCGCTGGGCACTATTCGGAGCTAGAGTAGCATTGGAGAGAGAGAGAGATGGTTGGCGGAGGCCAGGGAGACTTACCTGTGGCGTCATAGCTCCAGCTTCGTCTTCGATGTACCTGCAACAAGGCGCCACCTTCACAGGTTAGTACCGGAGAGAGAGAGAGAGAGAGAGAGAGAGAGAGA